ACTTGTTGTGGACGATGACAACAAGGGATCACACTTTGCTGACAGTAAATTTTTTTTTTCCTTTTTGGTCTGTAGTAGGCTTATTGTAGTTAAAAAACAGGTCACTGGACTTTTGCGAATGGCAGAATCAGTTCCTGTACAGTTGATCAATTCGTTTCGGTACAGGCACGTGCCAGAAAGATGGGTTGTTTCATTGATGAAGCGGAACCCTCTATTTTCTGTTGCAAACCTTGTATCTAGCAAAGTGCAGAGATAGGTAGCACTACTGTTACGTTGAAAATAGTTTCACCAGTGAGACAGCAAGTCGCTCTACAATTCTTTCATTCATTTCGATGATAAATTGCAATTGATGCATGCCAAGGGGCCAAAATTGCCATCGGCTTCTTTGAAAAACTCTCGTAAGAGGGAGCATTTGATGAGCTTGTTAACGATTAGCATTCAGGCTACTTTCGATTATTTTCAGTTCGTATTTGGAGAGATCCTGATTTTTTTTTTGATCTTTTTTTGACGATTTATTTTCATGGCACACAAACTGCCATTTTTTAAATGTCTTTTCCTGGGCCACCACAGAAATAAGAGGAATATTTGCAGGTGTGGAAAATTTTAAGAAAAAGATTGCTTTGAAAATGGAGCATCACCGGCTGAAGCATCATTTTGGGCACCGTAGAAGGGAATCGGTGAGAGACTTAAATTCTTTTTCGCTTTTATTTTACTTTGGAAAAACTTTTGAAGCCGTGGTTCCCTACTCCATTATTTCAAACATATTGCTTCTTGTAATATTCAATTGAGTTGAAAAAATTAAGCTGGAACACAGTTTTTATCTCGTCTGTCCAAAAATCATGAAATTAGTTTCGCACTCGCCGTTTCCTGGACTTGTGACTGCAGGCTTAAATTCGGGCTAATGTCATAGCCCCAGAATAAAAGTGACTTTGTATTTGGTAGTTCGAAACCACCGAACCGGAAACTTTTGAAGCAACATATGTTGTTCACCAATTCCAGCTTTGATCTGAGAAGTTCTCGATAAAGGGAACTGCCAACAGCCCGATCAGCGGGTATTTGCATTTTGAGTATACTATTACTCGGGCCACTTCCTGGTGCTTCCATATCTCACAGAGGGCCAGTACGGAACAGATTTTGACTCTTGTTTCATATGATAATGAAGTAGTTTAAATGAAGTGATACGATTGGCTGACTGATAAATTTAATTGATATTTCGTTTTATAAGTCCAGTTGTGCTGAAAAAAAGTATATGCCG